TGACAATAAGTACTTTGTGCTCTAGATATTGAATGAGGCTGGAAATACATGGAAGTCAGCAGTATATAGATCATAACTGAAATCTGTGGAAGGAAGGCATTGTCCAGAGAGATAATATGCTGGAAACGATGACAGAGCATAGAATTGAGCATGGAAGCAACCAAATTTAATGGACATTCAGGTCCACATTTAATGGACCTTCATTAGAGCCACAAAGACGTGGAAGTAGGATGGTTAATGTTCTTTCAATAAATGTTATTGGTAAATCACTAAGCATTCAACCTTTATCAAACTTTGTAGGAGACTCACAAGGGGAAAAAACCCTGAAAGTTAAAATGAAGTAGAGCAGAATTTATAGGATTTTTTGTGACCCAAACTGATGTATATTCTGAAGCTATTTTAGTATTTCTAGGCTTTTATCAGAAAAAAAAACATCTCATTTAGAGTTGAGATTAAACAGGGTAAGGATAAAGAGAAGGTGATAGGGGCGCCTGGGTGGCTTAGTCGGTTAAGCGTCCGACTTTCGCTTAGGTCATGATCTCGTGGTTCGTGGGTTCGAGCCCCGCGTTGGGCTCTGTGCTGACTGCCAGCTCAGAGCCTGGAACCTGTTTCAGTCTGTGACTCCCTCTCTCTCTGACCCTCCCCTGCTCACGCTGTCTCTCTCTCTCTCTCTCTCTCTCCTAGAAATAAATAAAATATTAAAAAAAAAAAGAGAGAGAGAAGGTTCTAGAGGCTAACAGTACAGAGGGTTAGAAGAGGGCATAATAATGAGCCTGAAGAGATGACAGGTTATTTTGCTCTTTGGAAAGAAACAGAGGAGACTGGTTAGTGAGCTGTAACAGAGAGCTGGCTTCCTCTGGCACATTCTAGGCATAGTAGTTTAGAGAGGTGGGCCTGAGGAGACTCGGAATCCTTAGCAACAGAAATTGCAACATCTTAATAGAGCCCCTCTTCAGTTGTTAGCCTCAACGTCTCTGTACCCATTCTCAATACTGAGACAATTGAGGGAGAGACTTTCTATTTGCTAAACTTCATCTACCCCTTCCTAAACTCACATAGACTACTAATATTACCCATCTTTATAGACAACTCATTAGATCATACCAGTGAAAGCAAAATTAAAATCATACAGTATTTATAATGAGGGTAACATAATGGAATTGGCTTGCTGGAATCATGATGTCATAATAATGATAGCTCTCATTTCAGTGTTTCTAGATGCCAGGCCCTGAGGCAAGTACTTTATGTTCATTCTCTCATTAAAATCCTTGTAATCCTACACATAGTCTTCACTTCTAAAGAATAATAGCCCCCAAACTTACATATGCAAATACATTTATTTCTAATGTTGATTGTCCTTACATGCATATTTCAAGGCAGTTAATATTGAATTTCTCTAGGCATTAATTTGATTGGTTGTGTCTATCTACAGTTGCCAAATTGTATGTCAAAGCCTAAAACTTCAGTTTGTGTTTGACAATCAAAGGAGATAACTTTCTTTTTAGTTTAGTTTAGGAAAATAGTACTCCTCTAAGCCTATTTGAACCCAACTTCCATTTCTTTAAAAGTTTTGTGCTATGGCATTGAAGCATTCTGAGTCTGGCTGTTTTGAAAGCATTTGTGATCCTATAAAGAAAAATCACTAAGGAATCACCAAATCAGTATTCTTTTAATGGCAATTTCTGGTTACAATTCTTTAGTACCTAGAGGATTGGTTCCCAGGAGAAGAATATATGGTTGCTCTTTTGCTTTATTCTATAAACTTGTCAAACTCAGAGAAGTACATTTAAAAATTATTGGTACTATTGATAAACTACATACATTTCTACTTACAACTTGTTATTTTAAAGAGCTGTAATCTTTATGTCTTTGTTTTAGATTCCTTTATGTATTACTTTGGAATTAAAAAAAAAAAAGCTAAACAATAGTGTCGCATAACCAAGGTTAACAAGAGTGAACATGACTTGGTTGCATTAAATTCTTGAGTCACATCTGTTTCCACAAGTTTCTCCAGTTTCTCCTTTTTTTATAGGCTAGTCTCCATGATTTATCTGTGATCCCAGCTAGCCTTCTTCAGATGTTTGAGAGGAAGGAGCAGGCTAAAATTGTTACCCTCTACAAGGAGAGCAGCATATTCTCCTTAAGGCCAATGCTGTTGGATAGCTCCAATGAACAAAATGATATGAGAGATCAGTTTCTTTTCGATCTCCTCCTCTTCTCTAACTATGGCATGTGAGACTCTTTTTTTAGCTATTTTTCAGTCTTTACCCCACTAGTATTGATGCCCTCATCCTTGCTTATTCCCCTGAGCAATATTCCCCATAACCAGAGCTTCTAGGACCATATACTGATGACCTCCAAATCTCCGAACATTTCTCATCCTTGGGTCACATACCCACGTTGCATATCCAACTAGATGAACCTTCAATAACTGAAATCTAACATGTGTCTGTTGCTGAATACCAAACCGTGCGTGCATAGGACAAAACTCCACAAAACGAGGCACGAAAGTAACAAGATGACTGAGGAGCTCGAAACTGAGCAATTCCTAGAGCTCACATATATTCATGATTAGGGTACAGGATTGTCCATCTTTTCTGAAGCAGGAATAGTGAGTTGGTCTAATGATGCCATGAAGTCATGTGCTACACATCCACAGAGCATTAGTCCTAAGGATTGAATATTATGCTGCAAGCACTTGAAAATGACAATTCCCCACTGTATTTGTATTTCTCTTGGACACCCTACCTGATCCTTCCTCTCCCATTTGGGCATAAATGGGGAAAAACAAAGATGACCAGCTGAATTGAGTTTCATAGTTAACTCTGAGCTTCCTTAAAGAATCTAAGCAAAGCACACAAGTGGTGTAGTTTTGTGTGTACTTAAATCGATGTGACACACCTCTCCAGTGTCTCTAATCCTTGTCCATGCTGAGAGCCACGTGCAGGGTTATCCAGCTGGTGAGAATAAACAACCATTCAGGGCTTTTGGCTTTCTCTGTGTGTGAGTCACGGAGGGGTGCTTGTTGGAGTGTAAAGAAAGATAAACACATGGCAGCACTCTAAAGCCGGTTTCTGGAAACCTAGCAGGAAGGAACAGAAAGCCATTGTTCAGAGCTTGTAAAGTGTTATGAGACTGGAGTGGGAAATGCATACTTAGGGAAGACCAGACTCTTTTTTGTTTTAATGTTTTATTTATTTCTAGGAGAGAGAGAGAGAGAGAGACAGCGTGAGCAGGGGAGGGTCAGAGAGAGAGGGAGTCACAGACTGAAACAGGCTTCAGGCTCTGAGCTGGCAGTCAGCACAGAGCCCGATGTGGGGCTCGAACCCACGAACCGCGAGATCATGACCTAAGCGAAAGTCGGACGCTTAACCGACTAAGCCACCCAGGCGCCCCATGGGAAGACCAGACTTTTGATGGATCAGAAATTGAAATGCTTGTAATTAAACTGGAGCTAAACCAGTGGTGACAGAAGGTTTTTTTGGGTGAAAGGATGTAGAGAAAACAGACTCAAGATCAAGGGAGTTGTCAAGTTTAGTTGGATCAGGAATTCTCATAAGAAAACAAAACAAGACACTGGAGAAAACCTGATTTCCCCTGGAATCAACTTGACGATGTTCATGAGAAAAAAATATTACTGAAGCCCTTTTGCTAGAAGTGAAATTACAACTATATTCCTACATGGCGATGGCCACCTTGATAATACAATATGGTACATACAATTGCCAGATTCTAGTCTACCACAGAACCCAATAACAGCTTTCTGTGGAAGCTTGTTCATGCCTTAAGCCTGTTTAGATTCTGCACATCTATGAAAGAGCTTGGGAAATAACCTGAATCCAGCACTGCCTTCATATGCAAGTGAAAGTGTTCCTGCCCTTGGCCCTGCACTTCAAGCCCTGCACATCACAAACACATGGTAAAGGAATTTTGTAAGGAAACATGGGTGCCCTTACTATGGATGGAGGACTCAGTACCGGCACAGTACAAACTGTAACCGTAGACATTCATGCTGTGACCAACGTTGTTGAGGCTCCAGGGAAATGTTCGTGCCTGTCTTGTGCCCTGTGTCCTAGAAAAAGTGACTGTATCTGGGTCTCTGTTGCTGTTGAAGAGAGATACCACTTTGGTAGGATTGGAACAGCAGAAACCCTTAAGAACAAGAATATATAGGGGCGCCTCGGTGGCTTAGTCGGTTAAGCGTCCGACTTTCGCTTAGGTCATGATCTCGCGGTTCGTGGGTTCGAGCCCCGCGTCGGGCTCTGTGCTGACTGCCAGCTCGGAGCCTGGAGCCTGTTTCAGTCTGTGACTCCCTCTCTCTCTGACCCTCCCCTGCTCAGGCTGTCTCTCCCTCTCTCTCTCCTAGAAATAAATAAAACATTTAAAAAAAAAAAAAAGAATATATATTGATTGATTTATCAAATCCCTCCTGGCATATACTATAAATGCATATTCGTTCTTACATAACCAAGTGTGCTGTTCCAGTAGTGAAGAGCAATCATTGTTCTTGCCCTTTCTTGTGTTCTGAATCCTGGTTCCTGAGATATTCCCAGACTAGTGTGGTATTCATAGCAACACATGCATGTGTTGTCTATGGAACATTTTGCAAGATTAAAAGATTGATATTACTATTCTACTGATATTAAATTTCTATACCCATTACATTAGTCATCCAAATATCATCAGACCATCAATAGAACACTGAGATGTGAACAGTGAGACGTGTAAAAATTAAGCTGCTTGTCTTTAATAATTTGCTGGCTTCCAGCAAATTATTTGTACACATTTCCAATTTTGTCATTATGACGGTTGCATATGTCAAAGTAAGGGAGCAAAACATATTTTTTACAGGGTGTTAGCTTGATTTATAACTAAAACATTAGGGCATACCCTCCTAAGGGTATGTTGGCCTCCAATTTTACTTTTTTTGTGGCCTTATAGGCATTAAGTAGCTTACCAATTGGTATAAATGGATTTTTTAATGTGCAAAAAACATGAATAAAACCATGGGACATTTCATAAATTTGTGTGACATCCTTGTGCACAGGCCATACTAATCTTCTCTGTACCGTTCCAATTTTAGTATGTGTGCTGCTTAAGCAAGCACTCCAATTTAACTGAACTTGAGTCCTGCAGCCTTGCTCCTGGGTCTGTCTGACCACACTTGACCCAGCACTTGACCAGGGTTAGGTGATCTGGCTTTACTACTAGAGACATTTCAACAAGAAAAGGAAGTGATGTCGTCTTAGCCTGAAACTATCTTACTATACACTCAGAAAATATTATTACATGCCTTTGGTTCTGGTGATGTAGTTTCCTTTCTAAAGAGGGTTTTCTTTTCCTGAAGAAAATCCGTCATTTTTATGTTCTGCATTTTACAAAGTTTTGTCACTGAGATTTTCATGCCATGCGTTCTGGTACAGAACACATGCAGAATAAATTCTGGTCTTGTGCAGAGAAACATTTAGGGAAATCTTCACTTTTCAAAGGTCACTACTTGCTGTCCACAACACTTTATAATAACTGCCCTCCTCACTTAGTGGGACTTCAGAAATATTGTTTATGAATTGTGTGTGGGGATACTAAAATAGGGTGTCAAATTAGTCTGTTTGCTTGTATACACACACCATACACAAACATATGTAATATATATGTTCATAATGAATTTACATCTGTAAATAAATGACAATAAGGAGAGAGAAGAGATGTGTAACAAAATATGTTAAATCTACATTGGGAGCCGATGTAGTACCCAGGAAAATTTTTTCTAATTTTTTTATGTTTATTTATTTTTGAGAGAGAGAGAACGAGCGCACAAGTAGGGGAGAGGCAGAGAGAGGGAGACACAGAATCCTAACCAGGCTCCAGGCCCTGAGCTGTCAGCTGTCAGCACAGAGCCTGATGCGGGGCCCAAACCCACAAACCGTGAGATCATGACCTGAGATGAAGTCGGATGCTCAACCAACTGAACCATTCAGGTGCCCCTGAAATGTTTCTTCTGTAATAGAAAGTTAAAGCCATCTATTAGGTGCCCAGAGTAGAGAGAAGATAGTGGATTGCCCTCAAGCGCAAATGACAAAGATGGGACCCCACCCTGAAGGAAGAGCCCCACAGCTCAGATGGATAGTCTGTGCTTCCTGCTACTCCCTTTTATTTTACTAATCTTTAAATGAGTCATCCTCCAAGATGTGTCCCCACTAACAAGGGTCCTGAGCTTCCAAGTTTCAGGATGGGAGCCCCTACCTTCTCCTTTTCTCAGAAACCCAGAACTATATGGTCCTGCTGCTTGATTTTGTTTCTTGTTATTTCTTAACTAGCTGTAGGATAAAGCTTTAGGCCTTTTCTTCTGAAGGAAAGTTAAGGAATCTTGAGTAGCTCTTTTAAGAAACCAAACTCAATAAGCCCTGCCCTTGAGACCATAACTTTGAGATATCACTGCTAAAGATTTGATTTATTCTTAACATGCTTTGGAAATGTGGGATAAAACCACTTGGAAAATGAAAAACTTTAAGAGAGAGCATAATATTTGGCTTTAAATATACATCTGGTGTTTCCTACATGTGTTGTGTGAAGTGTGTTATGTCAGTCAAGTAAATGAAGGCTGGTTTCTGATAAACTTAGCATAAGATGTATTTATAACATCCAACACTTTTAAAAAGTGGCTTAAAATTAATTATATTTTGAAGAAAATTAGGCAGTTTACATCATTGGGAGATAATTATAGACACCCTCCTTTAAGTATCTTGTAAACCAGACTACTGATTTCCAGGATGTCATAGTCTGTGTAATAGAACATCTGTTCTACTTCATTATTGTCTTCATATTTCTTTTGTTTATATATTTCATAAAGCCCTTTCGACTGGAAAACCGCACTGTAGAAACCTCACTGTAGAATTGTCAAAGTGAAAATGAGACCTTTAAGTATTTGTTATGTTACTGTTATGATTTTTTTCTCTTGTTATAAAATTAAAATCATACATAAAAATGAAAGTCAGCGTCTATTTCCATTATTTCCTCCTCTTCCAGATTTAGCCTAAGCCTCTATTTTCTCTATGTCTTGTCTCCTTTTCTATTAAACTATACTATACAGTCTTTTGTTTTCTGATTCTCAAATATATTTGTCTTTCTTGGGCAGATAAATGTATCTGTGCCAAACTATTTTGTCTGCATTTCTATTTAATTCTTTTTTCAACTTGGCTTGGTTCTCACATTCAAACTCTTCTACAAGGGTCCCTTGCTTTCTAGTTTCCTCATATTGATGAAAGTCTACATAATTGCTTTATATATTTGATATAAAATTAAATATTAAAGTCTACATAATTGCTTTATATATCTGATATAAAATTAAATATTATTATTGGGCCCTTCTGCCAATTCCTTCCCTTCCAGTCCTTGCCTCTTCACTCTTGTAATGAATACGTTTTAATTTTATTTATTTTGAGAGAGAGAGAGAGCAGAAGGGCAGAGAGAGAGGAGAGATAGAGAATCCCAAACAAACTCCACCCCATCAGCACGATGATGCTCGAACCTATGAACTGCCAGATCATGACGTGAGCCAAAATCAATGGTCAGTCGCTTAACTGACTGAGCCACCCAGGTGCCCTGTGTGTTTTTATTCCTAACTTAAAAGTGACTGTCAAAGTTAATGAATCTGCTTGACCATTTGACTACCCATAGTCCTCAGCCTGGTTCTTTTCCCCATTATCTACCCAAAACAACCACAGATTTGACAAACGAGGGGCTCCCAACCAAAGGAAACTGTACTTCTCTATCTCCCTAACTTAAAAATCTTAGTAGCCAATAAAAAATACTTTATCATTTTTTTTCTGTGTGTCTAGACTGATCTCCCCAGTCTTCATATTTTGTCTTCTCCTTACTCCAGAGAGTTATCTTCACTTGGAAAAATCATACTCTTCTCAGAGCATTGCCTTTCATACTCCATCTGGTTTTTGGAAATGAATCATGTGGACCTCTCATTCTTCTTTAATCCTCTCACATATTGTTGAAGTAAACAAATCCCTGCTAAATATTAATTCAGGCTCTCCTCATTCATCCTGGGAATGGAGTCAGGAGAAAAGAAACTGCCCTGGGCTGCATTTTTATTTGGAAGACTTATTTCTTTTCCTAAAGACTTTTATTTGGAAGACTTATTTCTTATCCCAATTCCCTCATTTCTCCCCACTCCTCGTTTCAGATACATTTTCCATGTGTAAAGGCTTCAGCCTAGCCCAGTACCACCACTTCTCTCTGGTTTCTAGAACTTGAGAACTTTCTACCACCAGAAAAGAGCCCCAAGTGTCACAGATGCTGTAACTTATCTCCTGTTATACTGTTCCCTAGATGTTGATATATACATTTCTTACCACTCCAGTTAGAGTGTAAATTCCTATAGAGTGAAAACCGAGTCTGCTCTACGAGTGTCAAAACAAATACCATACCCATTGAGTGATAAAATCCATTTAGAAAGTTGTGACCAACACTAAAAAATTAATCAAGTATAAACAAAGAAAAGATAGATATCTCAGTGAATTACTCATAGTAAGAATAATAATGAACCAAGATGTGGAAATAGTCTAAGTGTTTATCTATGGATGAATGGATAAAAAAATGATGAGATAAAGGAAACATATATATATATAATAGAATGATAGCCACCAAAAAGAAGGAAGTCTTGATGTTTGTAACAATATGGATGAACCTTGAGGCATTATGCTAAGTGAAATAAAAGAGGGACAAATATTCTCTGATCTCACTTATATGTAGAATCTAAAAAACCCCCAAAAAACTGAGCTCATAAATACAGAGCACAGATTGGTGGTTGCTAGAGGTAGGGGTTGGGGAATGGAAGAAATGGGTAAAGGGGGTCAAAAGACACAAACTTCCAGTTATAAAATAAATAAGTCATTAAAAATATAATATACAGCACGACAACTCTAATGAATAATCCCATATTACCTATTTGAAAGTTTCAAAGAGAGTAACTCTTAAAGGTTCTCATTACAAGAAAAAGAAATTGTAACTGTATATAAAAACTGATAGTGATTGATGTTAACCAGGCTTATTGTGGTGATTATTTTATAATATATACAGATATCAAATCATTAAGTTGTATAACTGAGACTAATGTTATATGCCAGTTATACCTCAAGTTGTAAAAACAATTTAGAAATGGGGAGAAAAGAGTGTGAATTGTTTTGGGGAACCTTTTAGTATATGCCCTTGACCAAAATTCTGCATATCACTGTCCTGTAGTGAAAGGGCACAATAGATGCTTAGTATTTGGTCATTTAAGTTGGTAAAAGGAAAGATTTGGAAGAAGCCTATCTATGCAATTCTGAGGGTCTTCTTATTACTCTTGCTCTTTGGTCTTCAGTCTGTGTGGGGTTTAAGCAGTCACTTAGGTTGCTTCCTCACCCTGGTTGAGTACCTCCTTCCCTTATTCAGAACATTTGGACAAATCACAGATTCTCTGAGGGAATTCATATGCCGATGTAAGCCTCATGATGAACACCATGCATAAACTCTACTGTGGGTTTTCTATCTCCCAAATAGATAGAAAGCTAATTATTATTGACATAAACTGCTAAGTTCCACACCCTTCAATTTATTTTAGCAAATATTCATGGAGTGCCTCCTCTGGACTGAAGACACAGAGTTGAATCAGGCACAGGTTACACCCTAGAAGAGCTAATGATTTAATACAGGAGCTGACAAACTGCAGCCCACTGGCAAAACCTGGCCCACAGTCTGTTAGTGTAAATAAAGCTTTATTGGAACCCAGTGAGGCTCAGCCACACAGAATTGAGTAGTTGCAACAGAAACCATATGACCCACAGAGCCTAAATATTTACTGAAATATATCTATGAAAACGTTTGCCCATCTCTGATCTAACAAAACATCAAAATTGAAGATAATACTTTTTTCTATTATATTTCCATATGCAAAAGTGACAGATACATCAAAAGCAATGCAATATTTTCCTTATTTTTGTGACTAAACAACATAGATCACTGATCTGTTGGGAAGCCTTGAGAGCTTACAAGAAGCGACCCCTTTTGAAAAGCTGGTGACAGAAAAACATTATGATCTTAACGAAATGACATTTC